CCCCAAAACCCCAAAACCCCAAAACCCCAAAACCCCAAAACCCCTAACATTTAAATTTTTTTTGAAATATGAAATAATTTTTAAGCAAATGGGCAACTGAAACGGAATTTTCTCAAAATGAACTAATGATGATAATGTGCGTAAAGTGGACAAAGCAAGTGTAAAAGCAGCAGTAGAGCATAACACAAGAATGAGGAATAACAACCCAGCAGGGAATACTCATACTAAATAAAGGAGCAACTGACGGAACTGATAATGGAGTTCATGATTGGAATACCAAAGGAAACCAAGATGAAGGCTCAACGGCCTTCTCCGATCCTCCTAACCAAAGAGTGAAGAAGGGAGAAGTTACTCTTCCAAATGGAGCTAAGTACTCAGGAGAGTGGATGAACGGCAAAAGAGATGGCTATGGAACCCAGATCTGGGTTGATGGTTCTAGGTATGAAGGCAACTGGAGCGTAGATAAAGCTAATGGACAAGGCAAACTCTTCCATGCAGATGGAGACATTTACGAAGGAGGATGGCTTGACGACAAGGCTCATGGTTTTGGAAGATACACTCATGCTAACGGAGCCACATACGAGGGAGAATGGAAAGAAGATAAACAGCACGGACAGGGTGCTGAAACATGGCCTGATGGAGCGAAATATAACGGTGCATATGCTGATGGTAAAAAGCATGGTAAAGGAACCCTCAACTTTGCAGATGGATCTGTTTATGATGGAGACTTCAATAACAATGAGATTAGCGGTCTAGGAGTTTATAGATGGAACGATGGCAAGAAATATGATGGAGAGTGGTATGGAAATAAAATGAATGGGAGAGGTGTCCTTGAGTGGCCAGATGGGAAACTCTATGAAGGAGAGTTCTATGACGACAAGAGGCATGGCCAAGGAAGGTTTAAATGGAAGGATGGAAAAATTTATGATGGCCCATGGGTAAGTATCGAAATGTAATTTTTTAGAGCCGAGGAAAGCAGGATGGAGTCGGTACTTTTATTGGTGTTGGAGGAGTCGAAAAGAAAGGGCTTTGGGAATCAGGAAAGAGAGTCAAATGGATTCAGAATGAATAATAAGAATAAATTACTTTTTTCAATGTTTCAGATTGTTTAAGGGGTTTTGGGGTTTTGGGGTTTTGGGGTTTTGGGGTTTTGGGG